TTTTTGTGAATCATGGCTTAAGCAAAGTGTTAATCACGGATAGAGGTACTCACTTCACTAGTTTATTTTGGAAAACTTTGTTTAGTTTTTTCAAAACAAAACTAGCAATGTCAAAGGCCTATCACCCTCAAACTGATGGACAAACTGAGAGGGCAAATAGAACCATAGAGGATATGCTACGAGCATTCACATTAAAAGAGCAAGAAGAGTGGGACAACCTTTTGCCACTTGTGAAATTTGCATATAACAATTCTGTTAATGCATCCACAAAAGTGTCTCCATTTTTTCTTAGGTATGGAGCTCATCCTATAATTCCTTCAAGTTTGATGAGACTTTCCAAAGGAGAGGAGTTTTCGACCAAAGTTGCAGCAGTCAACGAATTCGTGGAGCATATTCACCGAGGACTACATCAGGCCAAGGAGAAGTTGATGATAGCTCAAAATCGGCAAAAGCAGCATGCCGATGCTCATCGTAGAGAAGTGATTTTTGAGGTTGGCGATCATGTTTGGTTATCTACAACGAATTTGTCTCTGGTAGGAACACCAAAGTTAAACCCTAGGTTCATTGGTCCATTTTTGGTTTTGAAACGTGTTGGTGAAGTGTCATACAAGTTGGAACTTCCGTCACATATGAAAATATATCCAGTATTTCATGTGTCACGATTGCGAAAACATGTACCACGACCAAAACAATTCACCAACCAACCAGCACCACCTCCTCTTCCAACCTTGATAGTAGATCATGAGGAGTTTGAGGTAGAAAAGATACTCAAGAAACGTATTCGAGGTCATAAATATCCCAAAGTAGAGTATTTGATTCAATGGAAAGGCTATCCATCGTATGAATCAACTTGGGAACCAGCTAAAAATTTAGCAAATGCACCTTTGATAGTTCAGGAGTTTGAACGTATGTGCAACGAGGACGTTGCATCTTAAAAGGAGGGAGGTTTGTAAGCATCTTTAGTTAGTTAGAACTAAAGTAGAGGTTACTCTAAATATTGATGTAGATACTTTAGTGTGCACTAGTCATAGCTGCCACGTCAACGATCCGCGCACTTGGTAGGTACAGAGTGGATGTGTTAGTTGACAGTGCCACATCAACAATCCGTGTGCTTGTAGGTAAGGATTGAGTGTATTAGTTAGTGTGTTAGTTGGGTGCACCACGTCAGCGATCTGTGTGCTTGTTAGGGTTATCCGCCACGTCATCCATCCACTAGGAGTGGGATGGATGATGAGGATTAGATCTTATCACCTTGTACTTGTTGGTGAGAGCTATATAAGGGAGAGTAGAACCATTCTTGATATCTCTCATCTTGAGAGTTTACGTTTCTATCTTCGAGTGAGCTTTTCTCTAAACCCTAGTGTTACAGCATGCTAGATACATCTTCATGGATGGGTATTCAGGTTACAATCAAATTTCAATAGCTACGTAGGACATGCACAAGACATCTTTCATGACTCCATGAGGAACCTTTGTGTGGGTGGTAATGCCGTTTGGGTTGTGCAACGCTCCGGCCACTTTCCAGAGATTAGTTACGTATATCTTCTCCGACCTTTTGTTCAAATCAATGATAGTCTTCATTGACGACTTTGGCTCACAATCTAGCATAACTGATCATCTACAGTGTGTGAGGAAGGCTCTGATCAGATGTCGTAAAATGCAATTAGCTTTGAATCCCGAAAGAACCTTCTTGGGTGTTAAGAGAGGAGTTCTACTAGGTTACGTGGTTAGCGAGAAGGGACGGGAACCAGACCCGGAAAAAATTGCAGTCATAGAGCAATTGGCAACTTCAACCAATCCTAAGGGAATAGCAAAGTTGTTAGGCGATGTGGGATGGTACCGGGAATTAATTCCAGATTTTGCTACGATAGTGATTCCCATCACTCAACTATAATCAACAACTTGTAATCAAGTTCCGATACTAGTGATCACTTGCTTAATGAATCTCACTATGAAAAGTCCTCCATCTTGCTGGCCAGCGAGAATAGCGACATGGACATAGCAAAGATGATCTGAGCATAATTCAAGATTCTCAAACTTCAACTCCGATATTATTATTGGTTGAAATTCACGCAAAATCATAACATATAATATTCACGACAGATTCAGATGATTTAATGTGATTTGCTCTTATAACTAAGTTCACGGAACACATAGATAATGTTAGGTGTGACAAGCAGAGTCCCCACATGGAATAGTATAGGAGAGACAGTGAATCCATCAAAACCCTAAATTGATTATTTTGATACATTTAACCCAACGTTACAAATGTTGACCACCGTAGGTGAGTTGAACAACTCCTAACACAAAATTACTACAGTCAATCCATCAAAACACTAAATTGATTCTTCCGATACATTTAATCCACCGTTACAAACGTTCACCACGGTAGGTGACTTGAATAACTCCTAACACAAAATTACTACGAAGTATTATTTGTCATCTCGCCACAATTTATAAATTGCAAAAAAACTCTATTTTTAAGAATCTCAACGTAATAGTTTTGGAGAAAAGTCACAATATGATGAATTTTGCTAATTTATCAAATTAATTTTAGTCTGAGATTGTCAATATCGTAATGCATTTCATATTTTTGCTAAAATTTGAACAAAATACGTGAACTTTATGATAATTTGTATATACAATACTTTCTTTTACATTGGGAAATTATATAATAAAATTAAATTATTCAGATTGATTTTTTTATAATAATATGAATATAAGAATATTTTTTATGTCAATATTTTATAAGAAAATAAATAAATAATTATTTTGATTTCATTTTTTAAACTATGCTGTTACATATCCGAATGCATTAATAATTTAACTAGATTTTATAGTACTTTGTTTTCACATAAGCGATTGTAATCTTTTTATTGAGCTAAAATAGTTTCAAATTGAAATTTCCATAATAATACGTATTAATTTTTCATTTTATAAAAAAATAAACATAAAATTTTACTAAATGTATCAATAATAATTTGAATGATTGATTACACTTGTATGATCCAAGAATAAATGCAAGATAGCATTTATAGCATTTTGTAATGCTTTAAATTTTAAGTAGAGAGTATTACGAATTTTCTTTTGCATCATTTAACTTTATAGTTAAGCTAAAAATTTTAAAAATATGAAATTTTGAACTAAATATGATTCAGCAAATAATAAGACATAGTTTGTTAAAAAAATCAAACGTGACTATTAAGCAAAATGCTACATCTCATATTTGTAATAAAAAATTATTTTTCACAAATAATTCAAATTATTACTGACAGAGAATTTATAATTTGGATTTAACAAATATTGAAAAAAAAATTAAGTTAAATTTTATATAAATTAACATAATTTTTAATTAATAATAAATACATGATAAATACAAATAAATGAATGATTTCAACATAAGACTTTGTAATGACACAATAGAACAAATAAACATTATTTTATTAACATGACACTTTAAATATCACATTAAGTGTTTCATTTCAATTTTAATATATCATAGTACTATGTTCTAAATGAAATTTCATAACTTTGGATTTTTTGTGAAAACTTTTTTTGATGAATACAATTCTATTAGTTCAATATTATTAAAAAATAAAATTTACATTTGATTATTTTAAAAAAATTATTTGGAGTTTTACTTCATATTTTAACAAAAAAAATTTTGAAAACTTATCAAAACCTTACAAATAATCACAATAGAACTTATTGATGCAAAAAGTTATAGATTTAAGAATATTTTATGACTTATAAACCTTCAATTCAATGAAATCAAATTAGATCTATCATGATTTAATCAGTAATCATGATAGATCTATTAGATAATCAATAAAGTAATATAAAGTAACCATGAATTGAATGGTTACTTTAGATAACTGTATTGAAGATAATATATGTTGTTTTGCATTGATTACATCACAAAACTTGTTAAGTATCATTCCTGGTTGGGTTTGCAAAGTATTGAACTTATGTAATATCACTAATTAACAAATATTTTCATCATCTTTGAGTTTATATTCTATGATCTATGCAGTTAAATTGAAATAATTTAAAATATTTCACACTTGGACTCTCAATATTGTTCAAACATGGACATTTTTTTCCTTAATTATTGTAATTAACTATGCAACAAATACATTAACGTACTTATATCCAAATTACATAGATATATTTCAAAACACAATATTATACTTGCATATGTCAAGAATATAGATAGAAAATTCATATATAATAATATTTTTTTGGATCAAAATTTAAAATGTATTTCAGAAACATATATCACTCCAAATTAAGATATAAACTGAAACGAGTCTTTATTGCTGATATGTAAGCTATTACGTGAAGGCAATTAAATTTGAAATTTATATTATTGCATCAAAATGTAGTTTTTCACTATATTGCTTTTCATGACAAATATTGGACACATGATTGATAATTGGTGCAAACAATGAGAAAAAAGTTAAAAAGAAACATAATGAATGGTAATTAGAATTGCATTGTAAGTTTCAAAACATCTTATCATCATCTTGCATCAAAGATATTAATATGAAAAATTATATGATAGAAGAATGTCTATGTATATATATATATATATACAAATTTAGACTAATTACTTTTTTCAATTTACTGAAAAATACAAGCATAAAAAACATATGAGATTATAAACTTAAATAAAAAATAAATCAAAAAATTTAACAAGATTAAGTTGATTAAAAAAATAAAATTAAAGCTAATTAAGTTGAAAATAAAGCAGGAAAGAAAAGTAAACATTCAAATTTATTCAATGTTGAAAAAATTAAATAAAATTTCACATATCATTTGATTTTCATACATATTTTTGAAAAAAATATCTTACGTAAAATTCAAAGTTTATGATAATCTTATTTAACAAAGAAAATGAAAAAATTGTGAGTATTATATATTGTTTGAAGAATTCATTATGTTATGTTTGAACTAAAAGTGTATATGGTTGATAAACACATATCATGAAACATTTTTGTACATATTGTAAGGGCCTAGGTCAGTAGGTATGGTAGAAATTCGCAGATTATGGACAGCTGACGGACTTCAGTGCGCAGCAGCTTTGAGCAATGGAGTCAGTCCGACAGCGTCTAAATGCCGTAGAAGGAGAGCATGGAATATATTGTCTGGAGGGCCGTTAGCACGAGCAGCAATATGGCGGCGAGGAGTGAAGCTATTTTCCAGGGCTTATTCAAATATGTCTCCACAAACTGCCACAACCATCGCTTCCTCCTCCGATTACAACACTGCCGCACTTCCTTGCAGAACTCAAGGAATCTACGAGATTGTTTTTCAGACCAACAGCCTCGGTCAAGATCATTGATCAATTTTGCCACAATGCCAGCATCGCCCACCATGTTGAGGATCACATAGTCGTTTGTGTTGCCACACAAAATCACAACGTCTTCCCTCGTGTCCACCAGCTGCTTTAAGATAGCCAAATACTCCATCAGCGGCTGCCACTCACGGTATAGCAACGACTGGACCCCCTGCTCCATCAGGAGCAAATTCCTCAGCGAGTTCGCAGTGCTGTCCCAGATGTCGAGCTTCGGGATCCACAAAGTGTCCGTGAATAGACCCTGCTCCATTTTGTAGTCCCAAATCATCGCATGCTTTTGACTTAAGCCTTTGACCGCAATGCCAGCCTTTCTCAGCTTCGAGGCTGTCGGAATGAAGAGACGATCGCGCCAGCGATCTTCTTCTTCTTCTTGACAATCCTGCGACCTCGAACCGAAAGCAGCAACTAAGCGCGTCAGGAGAACGCATTGCAGGTGGCGCAGGTAAATCATCAACTTCTGAAAGAAGTACGCAGACTTTTCTCCGCACCTGATCAATGCACCGACCGAGCGGGTGCTATTACTACCAGGCCGAGGACTGTCATCACTATCCACGTCTGGTGTTCTATATTTTTTAGCCACCACTCTGTACACCAAATCCAACAAGTGGTCAGAGCTCACGATCACATCTCTCGGCACGAAGTCGTCATAGAACCTCGGCAGCCCAGTAATCTTCAGTACATCTTCTAATACCGATGACAGAAGCTCATGCACCTCCGGATGGAAATCTTTTGCACACACGAGATCCACCCTCTCATCGTCTTCAGGGCTGGGGTTTATGACCCGATCGCGCTCCGCATGCTCTCTGTGCTCGCCCTCCAGGGCCAGAGCGAGCGCGTTCTGTATCAGCACTAGAGGAATCTGGTTCTCCATCAGCAGAAAGTCGCGCACGATTTCTGGCTCTCTCCAGACATCCTCCCACCTATCCACTTCCTGGACCTGCGGGAACTTGTCCCCCATAGTCTGGTAATAGCAGAGCATGAACACGGCGTCGATCGCCAGCAAGTGGCGCACGTCGTCGTCCGTCATGTCGGACGGGGCGTCACTCCACAGCCAACGCACTCGGGCAGGACTCGGGACGACTCTGGCGCACATCTCGTGCCAGCTGATCGGCCTCAGTTTGAGCTCGGCTCTGCGCGCGTTCAGTTTCTTCAAGAAGGCGATGGCGGCCTCCATTCGGCGAGTCTCGGCTGCGGTGGGCGCAAGCAATGCGCCCCTGCTGTAGAGCCCCAGGCGCATGTACACGGGATCGTACCTGAACTCGTAGCCGAACTGTCCGTGCTCCCGAAACGCGTGAGATGCTCGCAGGATCGTCGGCATGGCCCTTCTTCCCGCTCCCGGCTTCGGCGCCATCTTCTCCGCGACCCGCTTCAGCTCCTCGTCGATTCGGACCACGTGCGTCCATTTCTCTTCTCCCTCCGCCGAAGCCGAGGTGCAATCATTTCTCTCTTCGGAAGCCTGCGCCGCCATTTGTCCGACGACGCCTCGTGCATCAGAAGCTCCCGTCCAACTTTGCTCTTTGTTAGTAGCTCGATCTCGAGAAGGGATTACAAAAACCAGTTCACTATATTATTTTCCTGGAACTGGACCTCATCTCAGCACTTCGAAGATTGCTACGAGACTCACAATTTTTTAGATTGTATGCAATTTGAACCTCGAGAGTGTAAATTCATCGTACTGCTCGACGATGCGGCAGGGAAGAGGAGGGGAAGGAGGTCAGACTCGTCGACAACGGACTGATCCGTAGATTCGACGCCGGTCTTCACGCCAAAGCCGGTCTTCACGTCTTTTGCTTTACATAGTTCACTAAAAAATCTAATTTCAGTGAAGCTTTGACTATTACAGCTATTATTCATAGAATTTTTCAACTCATCTCCACCACTACAACGGTGCAAAGTATTCGCTTTCCAGCGTTGCAATGTTCAAATATAAATTTGCAAAAGTGGAAATCGATTTATCAATTTTTTATGAAATGGGAAAATCGATCTCCACCTTGACTGGTTCCGCTCGCATCTGGTAACTGGAGGCATTTATGGTGGCCTTTCGTAAATCGTGTTCATATATTGCATGTATTTACTTGTATGTAGCCTCTACGTCTACCTTCAACCAATTTTCCCTTTTGATTGCCGCTTAAACCCATAACTTCATCATTTGAGGTAATCAAATCGCCAGTAGCTTTAAGAATTAGCTCTAAATAATTGTACTAAATGTTTGATCTTACTAATCTGATAAACAAATCTTTTTATTCAACCATTATAAAATGAGAGAAAACCATGAAACAAAAATTAAATCATTTCATAATTATATGATTGATGATTTTAGATTTTACAACCGAATTTGATTTGCAATTGATATTTTAGTCAAAATTTTCAGAAATCTTCCTTCTACTTTGAATAAGTAAATATTTTCATCAACTATATTTGATACATTCGTATCCTAGTTGATGTTCAAAATCTTTGTGCAACAGAGTTTGTTGAAAATCTTTTGAACAAACAATGATTAACTCCAACTCTATGCACCAGTGTTGTCTATATCTAAAATACGTTTAAATATCTTTGAGAAACATTATGTATCCAATTCATCAAGATAAATTAAATCTGAATATATATATATATATATATATCTTATGCTAATCATGTTACCTTCTTCTTCTAATTTACCATAATGATATAATATAATGACAATTCAATTATATGAAGATTAATATTTGCATAATTGATAATTAAATATCTGTTATAGATCTCCTGCATGATATTATCAAGTTTATGGCATCATATTATGCGGTGATCTATAGTTATTATGACGACATTTTTATAGTGTAACCCACATTGATTTCAATTTATAACCAGACAACAATAATATAAACCAATAAAATTACTTGCATGAGGTATAACAAATAAATTCTTTCTTTCAGTTTTCAGGCAGGGTTAAAAGATCTAATTCATTGAAATCAGAGAGTTCTCGAAAGATCAAAAAATTAAATGATTGTGTCTTTAGACCATCTAGCTTGTAGAAAAGTCCTACCAAAGTTTGTTTTATTTACTTAAAATAAAGCAACATTTCAAGGTAAAATGTATTTTTCAAGAATTGTCGATTTCTACAGGAACAACAGTTCACAAATAAACTTGCACGGATTCTTTGGTTCGGTTAAACCTTCGCAGAAAGAGGATAGAGCTGGATTCATGCTCCCTTAATCTCAACAAATATCCCGAAACTTTCAGAACCTGAAAGTACACGTCTGTCACTGGCTCTCTTCCAAACACCGTGTACTGACGGCAATAAACTACACCACGAGATCGTTGTGCACAGATGACGAGACAAATATTCTTAGATGGGGAATAAACAGTAGGAGTAGTAGGAGTCCAGGTAACTAAAGTCCACCTTCAAGACAGGCCTGGGGGTGCTGCTGACAGGGTCTTCAACCAAATGATTACTGAGATGGATGGTATGAACGCAAAGAAGACGGTGTTTATCATCGTCGCTACCAATAGGCCAGATATCATTGACCCAGATCTCCTTAGACCTGGAAGGTTGGACCATTTACAGTCCTCTGCCTGACGACCTCAAGATTGAGAATCTTCCAGGCTGCTTTGAGAAAAAGTACTCTCGCAAAAGAAGTGGACCTGGAAGCTCTTGCAAGATACATTCAAGGTTTTAATGGAGCTGATATCACTGAAATCTGCCAGCGTGCCTGTAAATGCGCCATTAGAGAAAATATTGAGTAGGTTAGTTTAGGCCACTCCACTGTTTGGAGACACACTTGGTGTACTAAGTATTATTCTCTTTCTTCATTATTATTTGATTCGATGCCTGGATGGGATGTTTGTGACGTCGCATAATCAATGCCTTAACTGCTTTCACTACTGCTGCAGGATATTGAGAAGGACAAGAAGCGAGCTGAGAACCCAGAGGCCATGGAAGAGGATGAGGTTGAGGAAGTAACCGAAATCAAGGCTAGCCACTTTGAGGAGGCCATGAAGTTTGCCCGACGTAGTGTTAGCGATGCAGATATCCGGAAATCTCAAGCGTTTGCTCAAACATTGCAGCAATCACGAGGATTTGGTTCGGAGTTCCGGTTTCCAGATCGACCTGCTCAAACTGCAGGTGCTCGTGTTGCGCAACCAGCGTTTGTGGCTGCTGCTGATGATGAATTGTATAACTAAACTCCATTCATTGCTCGTCTGGTCTTCGATCGTGTCTTCGCGGCATGACCAGTATGTATGGCAAGACCACCAACGGAAGTGTGTAAATTTATGTTCATTCGCACTTTATATGCAACCCTCGACTCTGGGGAGCACATCCTTTGTGCTTTTCGATCAGATTCAGTCTCGAATACAGGCAAGGAGAGTTGACACAACTGGTTAATTAAAATTTCTGGCTTGTCATCCACATTACCGTCTCCGATCGTCTAGCTTTTGTGAATGGTTGTAACCCATTGAACAGGGTATGCTTGTAGTATTGTGTGCGGTCGAGATCATCAGCTTTAAAAATGTTTGGTTAACAGCTGAATTGAGTTGCTAGTTTACAGGAGATTTTTAACGGTGATATATGGATGTTTACAATCATTGAAGTCGAGATGACTCCGTGGTGTCCTCTCCAGAGGATGTGAACTACACGGTTGATGAATTGTACACAGCATCCTGAGGTCAAAATTAAAACCTCTTCGGGTCCTCTAATTCTCTCGCGTCAATTTTGGAGTGGTGCAATTGATTGTTTGACGGAGGCAGATATCGGGTTACAGGCCTCTTTGTAAGTTCAATCAACAGAGGACCATTTAACATTAGACAGTAGCACAAACGTTGGGACGAAGAGAATTAAAGGAAGCAGCGAAGGCGAATCGCAGAGGGGCGGGAAAGCTGCAGGTTTGATACTTTCGTTACAATCAGATCCAACATCTTCAATGTAGGAATCAAACCTCAAAGTCAAGTGTTGCGTTTCGAAGATATGGAAAAGAGGTTGAGATATCTTATGAAAATCTCAGTATCTGTAAATTTTTGAGCCTTCAGGTCAGGTGTCGGTTTCGGGGTTGAGAAAGTATACCTCGAGAAGTTCAATGGATCGACCAATACCTTCCTAAAACAGATAATCGGCATGATTTGCTACAAGTTTATTACAAAGCATCCCTTGATTTTCCCTTGAAGATGACCACTTCCCCCAAAAAAGTTATGGAAGTAACGTAAATTTAGAATATCAATTATTGCAAGTCACATGGATCACGCTGGATGACACACGAGGAACGGAACAGTGGGTGCTGATTTTGAGAAAATTAGGAGCCTTTAGCGGAAAAAATTGAGACTGTAATTGAGAATCGGTTACATTTATTACTTGTCTTCATTAAATTACATCAATGCCAGATGAGATGTCCAGCCAGTTTGACTTGACATCGCTATATCTTGATTTGTTAGAATCAAATAATTGAAAATACTTTGATGAAAATAAGACAGGCATGAAGCACAATCTTAGGTTATACATAAGAAACGAGAGTAAGCATTAGATGAAATGTGCATGGTCTCGTGGCAAGCTTTTGTTAATAAAACTTGTTTGTTGATTTTGAATCAACTACATTGTATTGATTAACTTCATAATGTAATCATGCAACTACCAGAACTTTAACATCTCATAACCATCCCAAGATCTGAACCTGCATTCCGCGCACTTCTCCTTTATGATGTTTACAATTTTGATTTTAATTCTCGATCAACATCTTGTAATCAAGTTCCGAGACTACTGATCACTTGCTTAATGAATCTCACTATGAAAAGTCCTCCATCTTGCTGGCCAACGAGAGTAGCGACATGGACGCAGCAAAGATGATCTGAACATAATTCAAGATTCTCAAACTTCAACTCCGATATTATTATTGGTTGAAATTCACGCAAAATCATAACATACAATATTCACGACAGATTCAAATGATTTAATGTGATTTGCCCTTCTGGCTGCGTTCACGGGAACACAGATAATATGAGGTGCGACAAGCAGACTCGCCGCATGAAATAGTATAGCAGAGACACAGTGAATCGATCAAAACCCTAAATTGATTATTCTGATACATTTAACCCACCGTTACAAACGTTGACCACCGTAGGTGACTTGAATAACTCCTAACAGAAAATTACTCCTCCGAAGTATTATTTGTCATCTCGCCACAATTTATACATTCCAAAAAAACTCCCTTTCTCAGAATCTCAATGTAATAGTGTTGGAGAAAAGTCTTAATATGTTCAATTAATCTAGTTTATCAAATGAGTTTTAGGCTGAGATTGTCAATATGGTAATGTATTTCATATTTTTTCTAAATTTTGAACAAAATATGTGAACTTTATGATAATTTGTATATACAATAGTATCTTTTAAAAATATTTATATAAATAATGTGATTATAAGAAATTTTTTATGTCAATATTTTATAAGAAACTAATAAAAAACTAATTTGGATTTCATTTTTTTACACTATGCTCTTATTTATCCTAATGCATTAATAATTTGACTAGATTTTAAAGCAATTATTTTAACATAAGCGATTTTAATCTTTTTAATGAGCTAAAATAGTTTCAAATTGAAATTTCCATATTAGTTATTAAATTTTTTTATAAAGTATTAATTTTTTATCTTGTAAAAAAATTAATATAAAAGTTTACTCAATGTATCAATAATAATTTGAATGATTGATTACAGTTGTATGATCCAAGAATGAATACAAGATAGCATTTACAGCATTTTGTAATGCTTTAAACTTTAAGTAGAGAGTATTATGAATTTTCATTTTCATCATTTAACTTTATAGTTTAGCTAAAAATATTTTAAATATAAAATATAAAATATATAATTAAGAAGTAAATATGATTCAGCAAATAATCAGATATAGTTTGATAAAAAAAATCTAATATGTCTATTAAGCAAAATGTAACATCACATATTTTTAATAAAATAATATTTGTCACAAATAATTCAAATTTTTATTCATAAAAAATTTATGATTTTTATTTAACAAAATATAATTTAAGGAAAGTTAAATTTTAAATAAATTGACATAATTTATCAAGTAATAATAAATACATGATAAATTAAAATAAATAATATGAATGATTTCAACGTAAGACTTTGTAATGACACATTCAAACAAATATTATTGTTTTATTAACATGACACTAAAAATATCACATTAAGTGCTTACAAATCTGATTACTGTATTGAATCTGATTTGCTATAATGACTTAATTATTTCATTTTTTAACATGTTGTTGATGAATAAATATAATTTTATCACAAAATATTGTTTCATTTCAATTTTAATATGTCATAATACTATGTTCTAAATGAAAATTCATAACTTTCGATTTCTTGTGAAGATAAATTTTGATGGATACAATTCTACAATTTAAATATTATTTAAAAATAATATTTACATTTTGATTATTATAAAAATTAATTTAATTTTAATTCATATTTTAACAAAAAAAATTGAAAACTTATCAAAACCTTACAAATAACCATAATTGAACTTATTGTTGCTAATTTTTATAGATTTAAGAATATTCTATGACTTATAAACCTTCAATTCAATGAAATCAAATCAGATCTATCATTATTTGAAACTTTACATTTATATTAGACTAAATTTATTGTGTATATAACACTACATTCAATTTAAGGATATAAAAAAAAATATGAATTTGAAATTCGTTGAGAAATTTTAAAACAGAAATACATTTATATCATTTGTACTTATGTCATTCATCATACTTGATTTGTAAACATCAAGTATTTTGGTATTGAAATTAATGTGTTTAATTTTTTCATCATGATAAGATATATGACAATTATATTTGCAATAGATGTCTTAAAATTTTCAATATAATCATATTTTAATTTTAATTTTCAATTTAAACATCAAACTTTTTTATATATTTGATATCAAAAAAATCTTGCACATTTCAAGTTATGGTTACTTTAGATTACTGTATTGAAGATAATATATGATTTTTTGCATTGATTACATCACAAAAGTTGTTAACTATCATGACTAGTTGTGCTTGCAAAGTATTGAAATTATGTAATATCACTAATTAACAAATACTTTCATCATCTTTGAGTTTATATTCTATGATCTATGCAGTAAAAATTGGAATAATTTAAAATATTTCACACTTGGACTCTCAATATTGCTCAAACATGGACATTGTTTTTCTTAATTATTGTAATTCAGAATGTAACAAATACATTGACTTACTTACATACAAGTTACGTAGATATATTTCAAAACACAATATTATACTTGCATATGTCATGAATATAGTTAGAAAATTCATATATAATAATGATTTTTTGAACCAAAATTTAAAATGTATTTTAGAAACATATATCACTCCAAATTTAGATATAAACTGAAATGAGTCTTTATTGCTAATAGTTAAGCTACCAACAGCTCATTGTGTGAAGGCAGTTTAATTTGAATTTTAATTATTGCATCAAAATGTATTTTTCACTATATTGCTTTTCATGACAAATATTTGACACATGATTGATAATAGTTGCAAACAATGAGAAAAAAGTTAAAAAGAAACTTAATAATGGAGATTAGAATTGCATTGGAAGTTTCAAAACATCTAATCATCATCTTGCATCAGAGATATTAATATGAAAAATTATATGATAGAAGAATGTTTAAAATAAATAAATAAATATATATATATATATACAAAATAAACTCACTCTCATTATTTTTTTCAATTAAGTGACAAAATACAACCATAACAAACATATGACATTAGAAATTTAAATAAAAAATAAAGCAAAAAAATTAACCATATTTAATTGGTTTAAAAAATAAAATTCAAACTGAATAAGTTGAAAATAAAGCAGGAAAGAAAAGTAAGCATTCATATTTATTCAATGTTGAAAAACTTTAATGAAATTTCACATTTCATTTCATTTTCATACATATTTTTTTAAAAAATCGGATAATTTGATGTCTTCCCTCTAATTCAAAGTTTATGATAATCTTATTTAACAAAGAATATGAAAAAAATTGTGAGTCTTACACATTTTTTGAAAAATTCATTATATTACGTTGAACAATTTTAACTAAAAGTGTATATGGTTGATAAACATATATCATGAAACATTTTTGTCCATATTTTTAAGGGCCTAGATCAGGAGCTATGGTAGAAATTCGCAGATAATGTACAGCTGACGGACTGCGCAGCAGCTTTGAGGAATGGAGTCAGTCCGACAGCGTCTGAATGCCGTAGAAGGAGAGCATGGAATATATTGTCTGCAGGGCTGTTAGCACGAGCAGCGATATGAGAGTATGGAATATACTGTCTGGAGGGCTGTTAGCACGAGCAGCAATATGGCGGCGAGGAGTGAAGCTATTTTCCAGGGCTTGTTCAAATATGTC